AGGCTGATAACAGCGTGGGATCACTCAGAGGATCCTTGCTCTCATTAGGCTCTTAATTTCTGTATTGACTTTAATTAAATTTGAGAGGCATTTTCAATAAGGAGAGAGAAATAAGTTTGTATGAAGGATTAACACCAGTGTATTAGCCAGACTATAGATGTGGTTTTGGGGAAAGAATAAACGTTTCTCTTATTCCAAGTTCACAAATGTGAAATGCTTTGTCTTGGAGTTGCTTGCTGGTGAAGAGATGAGTACTTTACAAAACTACCCTTTGAGTTGAGGCCCTTTTCATGGCAAATACTGTGAAGACAGACAATGATTCTTTTTTTTTAATGATGCATTAATGTGTTGTTATTTTGTAGTGACACACTGGTGTCTGTATTTGGTCTCATTTAAGCCATACATAGTTCATGTGAAGTACAGAGGACAACTTTTTGGGTGTTAGTATTCTCTTTCCACTTTGTCTTTGAGTCTCTCTCTCTCTCTCTCTCTCTCTCTCTCTCTCTCTCTCTCTCTCTTTCTCTCTCTCTCTTTCCCTCCTCTCTGACTCTCTCTCAGTTATTATGCTGATAACATTACTGTTTTCTGCTTCTTAAGCAAGCTTTAGGCAAATACCATCTCCATCTCTCATCTCTCTATAGAAAACCCTACAATTACAATCAAAAATTATGTTTGCATCCCAAAAGAATTTTAATGTGGGTTCCACAGATGTAATTCACCTTGATAAAGTTGTCTTGAAAGCCCTATCCATTCCTGTCCATCAGGGAAACCTTTGAAACAATATTTTCCTTAATAAAAATAACACAGAGAAATAGTTATATGCTTAAGATTCAGGGAAGATATTTATTACTTTAATGAATTAATATTTGTTGATCACAGCCAACATGCTGTGCATGCTTCCATTCGGGAAATCATGATGGTGCTTGGTAGGTGACGCATGCATGTACTCAAGCAGCTCATGCTATGGTAGCAGACATAATCCATCAAAATAGATTTAAGTAATTTATTTTCACATATTTACATGAAGCATGAGTAAAATTAAACAGGCACTTAGAAGGTAAATCGATAGAAGAGATGAAGCACAAGGGTGATGAAAGAAGTTATCAGGGGTCTCTTTAAATAGTAGACACTCAAAATGGTCATTTAACTTGTTACGCCTTTGCGGTTTTGGAATTTTGAATAAATCTATATATTTATTTTAAATGGCTTGTAGATATAGGTAAGGAAAGATGATGGAGATGGAATGGGCTACAAGTGTACTTCAAATAAATGTTGTCTTCATTTTCATAAAATATCAAACATATTTATTTCTTGAAATATTTGAAGTAATTAAAGAAAGTAATTAAAAAAAATAAGCACACCTGATACTTTAAACCTGACTCACAGAAGGTTATGTGCTACACGTGAAGCTGTATCACAATACGCCTTCAATGGAGGAACCCTCATCTCCTCAGGCATTTGGATACTTGAAACAAAGCACCCAAGCTATGCTTTAAATAACTCAGCAAGTTATGCTATAAATATAAACAAAATAACCTCTATGTTTCAAAGGCTCAGTTGCCACCCAATGTTTGCTTCTCCTCGAAGTATCTAGGCCTGTTTCCCATCTGCCCGGACTGAAAGGAACAAAGCTTAGTTGGGTGGGGGTGGATTCAGTGCAGGATCTTTGTTGGAGGGCACAGGCAATGTGCACACCTGGGGAACAGGTTTGAAGAACTGATTTGTTTATTGGGGAAGAAGCATGCATTTAGGCCCATGAGGATGTGGAAGAGTCTCTGGGGTAATGTTTGTGTGGCCTTGTACCGTTGTCCAGGACAAGGATATTGGGAGATAATTCATCTACATATTCAGTGGCTGTAGGGTCTCGGGAAAAAAAAACGTAATAAGTTCAAACAAGGAGTGAAGCCTAACAGTCATGGTAATAAGTTCTTATTAGTGATGATGGTAGGAAAGCAGGCTTTATGGCTATGGGTTAGGTGAGGGCAGGGAGCCACCTCCTGCTGTCCTCATGTTTCAAGCATCCAGGGTTGAAGCTCCCTTGACCCTTTTCTTACACAACCCTGAGTATTACAGTCCCATACTTAGTAAACTACTAAAGTCATATACTCATGTATTGTATGAGTATGGAATAAGCGTGTATGTATGTTTAATGGATGTATTTGTGGACACATACAGGGATCAGAAGAGGATGCAGAGTATACTGTATTACTGTTCTCTGTATCATTTCTTTGAGACAGGGTCTCTAACTGTATTTGGACTTACGATTGAAGCCAGCAACACCAGTGATTTCTCTCCCCCCTCCCCCATCTCACCCCCACACACTGTGGTTACCTGCGTGCTCATAGCCATGCTTAGTGTTTTACATGGATTCTTGAGTCCTGAACCCAGATCCTCATGCTTGAGCTTCAAGCCTTCTTATTCCCTGAACCATTTCACCAGTCCTGTAATATTCCTTTTAATTTACCATAGAGTAAAATGATAATATTTGCCACACATTTGATTAAATTCATTACATTTTAATATTAATTACACTAATTTCTTTTTAACAGGTCTATCGGAAATTTTTCATTTGTATATGCCCATATCTGAAGCTCCCCTTGTACATTTGATGATCAGAACCAATTTCTGGGGTTACAATGTTCTTCCTAACACACTACCCAGAATTTTCAACTCAGTTGAAGCAAATTAAATGCTTATGAAAAATGGTGTGTTTGAAGTTGAGATGACAAAATCTAAATACAATTTAATCAAAATAACTGAAGTTACATTTTAACTATCATCTATTCATATTGGAGAATGACATGCTAGCACAAAATAATCTTTGAAATCTTGCAAATTTTGTATCCTGTCAAGGAACAGAGCGTTTTGATTTGTGGGGAGACATGGAATATCAACCAGTGTCACTCACTATTCTAAATCAGTTGAGTGAGATTTTTTGTTTTATTCTTTCCTACAATGTTTAAACTTTTCTACAGATTACTTGTAATTGCAGAGACTACTTCTCAGTCAGTTTTTCTCTCATTATCAAAATCAGTATATCATAAAATTGCAGTTGTACTTTCATTGTGATGCTAAGACTTTGACACAAGAAACTTTTATGTGAGCATGCGTGCGTGCGTGCGTGTGTGTGATACTTATATGTATAATTTTATAAGTAGAAACTTTTTATAAGTGGAAAAGCTGAGATAGGCAGAAAATTATCTTGTGTTTGCTAATTTTAATTATATTTTGTTTGCTTGTCTTAAAAAAAGTCTCTTTAACACAACAACGTGCATTAGAGTTTGTTAGTTTTCTTTTATTTGGGTCTTGAAAATTGAACCCGGGATGGTGTGCAGTCTACATGTGTGCTTTGCAATCAAGCTACTTCTGAAGTCTCAAGTATCTTTGAAAGACATAAATTCTGAAAAGGATACAGGCCATATTAACAGTTTTATCAAGTAAATGAAATATGTTGTTAAACTACAGAACTCTTAGTATCATAGCAAAACTTATCTTGATGCAAAATTAGAATACTAATGTAACATTATGTTAAATTTTCAAATGAGGAGTGGGTCTAGCTCAATTGTAGATGACTTTTCTAAAATGCATGAGGTCCCCAGCCATAGAACTCATAACACTAATACAATTGGGTTTTTTTTTCAGGCCTTTATATTCCAAACTTCAAGTTTCAGATCATGTTTCCCTTACACTTAAACTCTTAGATTCAGTCCATCTCCTTTCCTGCTATGTAACCTGAGCCTTAAAGGGCAGGGCTGAGGTTGAAATAGATGTAAAATAAAGAATTTAGGGTTACTCTTTCTCATTATTTTGACCAGTTACAAGTCTCTGAATTAACTGACACCAACTACAACAAAGAAACAAGAAACATAAAGCAAAATAAATAAATAAATAAATAAATAAATAAAAATAAAACTAAGCTTCTCTGAGGATTGTTGAAAGCAATCCAGGCGGTTTGAAAATAGAACTGTTCAGCAAAACAGCAGAAGGTTCTGCTATAGAGACTTAAACCTCCTGGGCCATGGGGAATTCCCTGCTGTGGACAGGTCTCGGGTCCAATCAGAAAGAGGATGGATGGTTTAAAACAGTCATGTCTCTGTTCGATTAGTGGACATACTTTTTCTTATAGATTAGTATTGTAGCAATCAGGGTCCAGAACTGATATGGGGGAGAGATGCCTTTTATGTTTCAGTGGCCTGTGAGATTCCTAACTTCTAATAATGCACAAAGTCTGTTTGAAGTTAATATGTTCTACATAAAAGCAAAGTTTTAATAAATTAATATGGGATTAGGTACTTTTCTCCAAGCCTGTATTCCAAGCAAAACTTGCAGACTCAAGAATAGTTCTCCAAGAGATTGTTAATAATACAATGAAGATGCTAACATGATTTTTGTTGACTTGATGACCTTCTTAATTAGGTGTTGACACATGAATCTAATTGAATTTAGTAATTTACTGAATTACTGATATGCAACCTCAAAATTCTTATTTTACCTAATAGATTTAAACAGCACAAGTCCCATAATAGAACTATGAATAGTGAATTTTCATACAGAACCAAAAGAAAATATAAATGGGTCTCTTCTCCTTATTTCAGACAATGTGTAATCACTGACCTCATCTGACACAGACGATGCTGTGTAAAAGAGATCTTATTGCACTTAAATAAAAATAAAGCACTCCTAATTTTCACCCAGAATAAAGGGCACTGTGTATTTAATAAAAATAAGGAGAAGTAATTTTTAAATTAAAATGAGATCTGTATTTATGTATGAGAAGAGAGCTCCTTTAATTAGTGTAAAGTCACAGCACTGAAAGTATGGAGTTGATATGCAATTAGTAAAGACCGACAAGCAGACAGACAGACAGACAGACAGACAGACAGACACAAAGAGAGACTAGCTTGTAGCAATTTACCCATATCACAAATAGAAGAAAAAAGTAAGTTCAAGGGATACTAATTAACAAATAGGTATTTATTAGAAATAATTTAGAGCAGCGAGGGGAAGATGGCGGATGACAAGGATTCTCTGCCCAAGCTTAAGGACCTGACATTTCTCAAGAACCAGCTGGAGCGCCTTCAGCAGCGTGTGGAAGATGAAGTCAACAGTGGTGTAGGCCAGGATGGCGCAGTCTTATCCTCCCCATTCTTCAAGGGATTCCTGGCAGGATACGTGGTGGCCAAACTGAGGGCATCAGCAGTATTGGGCTTTGCAGTGGGCACTTGCACTGGCATCTATGCAGCTCAGGCATATGCTGTACCAAATGTGGAGAAGACACTGAAGAACTACTTTAGGTCACTACGAAAGGGGCCTGACTAGACCCTTTGGGGAAAGCAGGATGAACGTGTTGGGCCTGCAGAGAGTGGACAGTGCTTTGTCAGCCTGCACCCTAGACTCCTTCCCTCCCTAGTTCCATGGGACTGACCCCAAAACTATGGGTCACGAATCCCTTCTTCAAGACCTAACTGGAATGTGCAGTTGTCTCTGATCCTCAGTATTCTCTCTGGTGATGTACCACAGTTCTGTACTCAATTTTCTACAAATGTGTCCCAGTTCCTCTGTCCCTTGCTAGCTACCCAGGCCACCTGGGTATGGGCCATGAGTGTAGAAGATGGGGGTATGCCAGGCCTAAGCCGCCCACGACAGGCTCGCTGGACCCTGATGCTGTTCCTGTCCACTGCCATGTATGGTGCCCATGCGCCATTCTTAGCACTGTGCCATGTGGATGGCCGAGTGCCCTTCCGGCCCTCCTCCGCTGTGTTACTCACTGAGCTGACCAAGCTCTTGTTGTCCGCCTTCTCCCTCCTGGTAGGCTGGCAAACATGGCCCCAGGGCTCGCCACCCTGGCGCCAGGCTGCGCCCTTTGCACTATCAGCCCTGCTCTACGGCGCCAACAACAACCTGGTGATTTATCTGCAGCGCTACATGGACCCCAGCACCTATCAGGTACTGAGCAATCTCAAGATTGGAAGCACAGCTCTATTGTACTGCCTCTGCCTTGGACATCGTCTCTCTGCACGTCAGGGGTTGGCGCTGCTGCTGCTGATGGCCGCGGGAGCCTGCTATGCATCAGGTGGCTTTCAGGAACCTGTGAACACCCTTTCTGAGCCCCCATCAGCAGCCGGAGCCCATCCCATGCCCTTGCATATCACTCCACTGGGATTTCTGCTTCTCATCCTCTACTGCCTCATCTCCGGCTTGTCCTCCGTGTACACAGAGCTGATCATGAAGCGACAGCGGTTGCCCTTGGCTCTTCAGAACCTCTTCCTCTACACTTTTGGGGTGATCTTGAACCTTGGACTGTATGCTGGCAGTGGCCCAGGCCCAGGCTTCCTAGAGGGTTTCTCTGGATGGGCAGTACTTGTGGTGCTGAACCAGGCAGTAAATGGGCTGCTCATGTCAGCTGTCATGAAGCATGGCAGCAGCATCACGCGCCTCTTCATCGTGTCCTGCTCACTACTGGTCAATGCTGTGCTGTCAGCAGTGCTGCTACAGCTGCAGCTCACAGCTGTCTTCTTCCTGGCCGCACTGCTCATTGGTCTGGCTGTGTGCTTGTACTATGGTAGCCCCTAAGTCCTTGACCACCTCCGCTCACTTGTGGCTGCGTAGATTAGATGCTACCACCAGAGTTATCTCCCATTCCCCCTGCAGTCCCCAGCAGCCCTCAAACAAGTGCCTTGTAAGAGAAGCTAAGGTGTCCAGGTTAGCCTTTGCATGTTCAGGTGGGAGAGTTACCCCTAGGAGGCATAAAGAGTGAGCTTGGTTAAGGAAACACCTAACTGCACTCCTATATTCCTTCAAATCCAGGCCTGGGCAGCCTGTCCTTGAAGAAGCCTGCTTTGCCCTGCATGTACATGTACATGGCTGCTTCAAGTGAAGTTTCAGTCTTCTTACCTGCTGTGGTCACTCTTGAAGACTCTCTGTCTCCAAGCTTGGTGCTGGCTGTTCAGCCCAGCGTGACTTCCACATAAGAGATACTTAGTTTGCCCCCTCTACAGTGCTGTTCCCCTTACCCATTATTCTGGAAAGGTCAGAGGGAGCTGGGGCTTGACTCATCTCAGGGAACATTGCCCCTGGGCCCTGGCTTAAGCCTACACTCCTGACCCCTGTGCTAAGTTGAGAGCCCCGTTGAAGCCCACTTTACCTCTGAAACACTTAGGAGGTACTGTTCTTCCCACTCAGTGGTGTCCTCACTTCCAACAGCTTGGGAGGGCTCTGCAGAGTAACCAGGGACCAGGTCCAGAAAACCTTTATAGCCAATCAGTGTCTAACTATTTCAGCAATAAGGTCTTAATAAAGTGTTTTAGGGTGTAGGGTACTCCCTACAACCATTTACAAAAAAAAAAAAGAAATAATTTAGAAAAAATATATGGAAGATATTTGATAAAGACTATACTTAAAATTCTACAGAATATTAATAGCTTAGATTATAATCATGAAAGATATACCTCTGCATAAACTGACATAGATAAGTATGATACCCAGAAATCATGGAGGGAATGATAAAGAGAGTAATTATGGCCACGAAATAATCCTCAAAAAGACTTACATAAGTGTCTATAATGGTTAAGGTCCTACGATATTTCATCTAAATATTAATATTCATCCTGATTTTATGCACAATTATATTTACATTAATTACTTGAAAAATAACATGTCATGTATTTCTGTCATTTGAGATAATTGTGTTAATATTTTAAAGTAATTTCTACCCAAAAATGAAAGCGAAATAAAATTTATTTCTCAATAATCCATCCAATAATTAAACTAAAGAGATATCTGAACATTTGAACTGTCTCTTCTTCTGCTGCTGTTGCAATTCATGAAAGAAGAAGAGATGAGAGATATTTTTAACAGAATTTGTTTATGAATGGATTATCTTTGTTCCCATCCAATGTATTTATGTGAAATCTATTGAAGAATACAATAAGAGAGAGCAGTTAATTAGAACATATATGGTTTTCCTTATGGAAAATTGCATATTTTTAAGAAGGAAAATGATCTTTAAGAGATCTACTACTATAGAAGCTTCTTAAAATATATACATATGTTAAAATAATCTAAATTGAGCCACTAAGTAATAGGGAGAGAATTCTCCAACTAGATATAACATGTCACCAAGTAAAACCTATAGTTTCTTGACTGGGTTATATCTTGTTGAGTCCTTGGCCAAAAAAATCCAATGGAACACCCCAAACATCACATAAGAAGCTATTTTCAAGGTCATGAGCTGCTTTCCAGAATCTATATGATATAAAGGCCCTATTGCTGTAGACTTCAGTTAATAATGTCATTGATGATGGAGCAGTAGATCCGGTGAGTAACTAAGCTCCCACACAAATGAATAGTATTCATGGTATTGGAAGGTTCTCTGTTCACTACTGGAGATAAAAAGTAATTACTAATATCATTTGCCTACAGACACCATGGCCCAAAACCGTGATCTGCCTGCAAGATATCCTGCTGCAATAGTAGCACAAATGTGATGGAAGAAAACTAATATTTTTAAAAATATATTTAAGACCCACTCCATAAAATGGAACCTATAAATGAACTTCCTAAAGAGTCCAAGGACCTGTACTTGGATATGTCACGTGTCTTTAGGAGAAACATAGAAATATTATTTTCTAAAGGAACCTGACAATAAAATGACTCCTAATGTCATGTGTCCTTAGGAGAAACATAAGAATATTATTTTGCTAAAGGAACCTGACAATAAAATGACTCCTAATGACACACTACAATACTGATAGATCAGTGTCTTCCTCAACTCACCTCAGAGAATTTTTTTTGAAATAGGTGAAAAATAATCCAGAGACCTATTACTGGATGTTCTGAAGAAAGTGACAGATATCAGAGCACCCAGTTCTAAATGTGATGTAACTATCAAAACCCTTCCCCTCAAGGCAAAAGTATCTCTGTAGAAGAGAAAATAAAAAAATGAAGAGACCAAAGTAATAGATAGCTCCAAGAAAACTGTCTTGTCTTTTATACTGGCAAGACTGATGCACAAGAATTTACAGAGGCTGTGGCATCATTCCCAAGATCTGAATAAGTTCAAGACAAATGGGTTCCCAGTTCTGCGTGTGTGTGTGTGTGTGTGTGTGTGTGTGTGTGTGTGTAGCAGAAAAGGGGTGGCAAGAAAGGGGGGCAAGAGAGGGGGTGTGAGAGAGAAAGAGAGGATATTCCTATCCCCTACCAAGAATTCTGCTGCTACCAGATACTTGCTGGTAAAGGGAAAATCAGTTTTCTCCATTGGAGTGTCACTAGGTATATCAATGATACTGTGGGGTAGGGTGGCCCCATGTCTAGAAGTAGCTGACCAACACAAGAGGAACTTATTAGTATTTTTGTGAATTTGTGGTAATGATTTACTCTTTGGCAATTTTTGTCCTACTAGATTTTTTTTTTAGCCTACTAGGTTTTGTGGGCTTCCTTGTTGTTGTTTGTTTCTGTGTTGCTGTTTTAGATGTTTGTTTCTAAATTATGTTTTTTATTTTTATTTATTATTTTTTTAGAGACCACAGAATTGGAGTTGAGATAGTAGTCAGAATTTGGATGAGTCATGGGATGAGAACCACGATCAAAGTATAATGTTTAAAAATTAAATACAGGGAGAAATACACTAGACAAATAATTATAGAATATAGCTAATGTCAGAAAATTGAGTTTCTTTTTTCTTTTTTTTTAGAACTGTTTATTTATTTTTTATATATGTGAGTACACTGTCACTGTCTTCAGACACATCAGAAGAGGGCTTTGGATTCCATTACAGATGGTTGTGAGCCACCATGTGGTTGCTGGGAATTGAACTCAGGACCTCTGGAAGAGCAGTTAGTGCTCTTAACCTCTAAGCCATGTCTCCAACCCGAAAATTGAGTTTCAATTAAAGAGAACTTTTAGTTATTAGGAAAAGTCTGGGATACAGCCAGTGGGTAAATGTGCACTAAACCAGGTTCTATGAGAGAAATGGATGAAGATATAGATGAAAAATGAGAGTTATGGGTAGAAATCTACAGAAATAAATCTGGTATTGAATGATCTTCTTTAGACTTATAGTTTTTATAGTTAATTTGAAATAACACTCTGTGTCGTTCAGGGTTTATTTTGGTTTTAAAATAAAAGAAATTTAACCCAGTGTAGTTTAAGTAATGAGTAAATACATGTTTTTTAAGGAATATGAACCTTCCAAGTACCACATAGCTGAACTTCAAAGGCACTTGACTTAGCAGGTTAGATAGTATCTTCTTTGACTTCTAATGTGAAAGAGTTTGCAAACAGCTTGACTTAGATGGTCAGATAGTATTTTCTAACCTCAACTATTAGTTCCAGTCTCAGACAGACTTTATTTTGTGCTTGTAATGTGGCTGCCATGAATCCGCACTATATAGACAAAGAAGTACGTCCATTAGTGAGCCACATCAATATAAGTCATAGAACAACTCATTAGGTTTGATGATGTCATGCATACATTTGGCACCCATTTGTGGAACCTGAATTATAGGAATATTTATTAACCATGATTGAGTCACAAACTAATCACGGACCTAATGATGAAATCCACTATGTGGGAACCATATGAACATAACATAGCAGATATTATTTTCCAAAATAAGAATTAACAACTAAAACCATGTTTTTCTATTACAAAATAAAGCTATAGTAACTTGAGGATTTTAAAAGGGCTGATGAATAGTTTGCATCACTGGTGGAATTATATGATCTTCTTGACTAAGTAAGTGAAGGTTCACTGAATAATACTCCCATTGAAGTTGCTCGTGTTAGAAATGAAGAAATTTAATTGAAAGATTTAAGAATTTTTGGAAGACATTGTATATTATCATGCTGAATAATTTCAAATTATTTTATGCCCCAAATCACTTTTTTTTTCTGAGTGCATGATAAGTAAAATATTCTTATTAATTATATTTTATGTGCATATATCTATTACCTTTGATGGATAAAAAGAAAGATATATTTTAAACAATGATTTTTTTATTATTATTTCATTGTGTCATAAATTTCAATTCTGGATTTTCTTTTTTAACAAGCCAATGTTTTTATTATTATATCTTAAATTTTAATTGAGGATTTTCTTTTGTTTACATGCTTAGGAATGTATAAATTATACTAAAAGCTAGAAGACAAAGAGCCATTGAGACATTGAAACAGTAAGTTGTAGAGTTGTAATATTGATGTGATTTTCTACAAAACCTATTATGAAACTTAGGTGCTCGATCCATTAATCCACTTCATGGAAACACATATACTGGATCATGTGATAAACCTAAAGCTACTGGCCATAGTCTGAGGCCTAAGTACAAAGCTGAGAAGGTGAAGAAAGGAAGAAAATGAATAGGAAACATTTTGTAAGGTCTAAGAAAATAGTTTCACTAATGAGGAATTCACATATTTACTGATCTACCCCAGGGTTTCTGTACCAGAATGGAATTGCTTTCCTTGGCAAGATTTCTGCATTATACAGAGAGTGTTTGGATTCCCATGCATGCTTCAGCATTATCTTTTATCCTCTGAAATGCTGTTATTTTTATATCAGACTCTGAAATGTGATGACAAGACATGACCTTCAGAGGCTCTGAGTAGAATCCGAAGGTTGGTATAGACACTCCACACCTGTGTTTCTCTTTGACACAGTTCCTCAGCTCTGATATCTTTACTTCAGCCTTGTTTATGGTGCTGTATCATCAAGTGATACCGTGATCAATGCTTTGACACTGATTGTCCTAGGGATAGGATCAGTTTCTTACAAAGTTATTACCTTCTTCATTCCTTTCATTAGCGTCATTTTTATTTTGACTGTGAGGTTAATTTTCATTAAGCCTGAGTGAAACACTGCAGGGAAAATATAGAATCTGACAACTTCAGCAAGCAATAGAAAAGCAGCAGAATATTTTACAACAAATGAGACAGGGCAACATTAACATTGGGTAAAACAGAACCAGAGCTCAAATAGTCACCTGGGATGAGATAATTGAAGTTTATGTACCTTATTCTACTATTGGACAAACTGGCAATATATAGTGATAATGATTTTATTTATTTTACAACTTTTTTATTTTTGAACTGTTCTATTATAAATAACAGAACATATTAGTGAAATATAAAATGTTATGTTATAGCATGAATTATTGTTTTTGTGGATTGTATATATTTTTCTAATTTTTTTATTGGATGTTTTATTTACATTTCATATGTTGTCCCCTTACCCCATCCCCCACCCACCCAGGAACCCCCTATCCCCTTACCCCTCCTCCTTCTTCTCTGTGGATGTAACCCCTACCTAACCCCCCACTCCCATTTCCCCACCCTCA